TTCAAATGGTTTGTGCCAAGTCAGTTTCTTATCAAATTAGTTTAAACTTTCGGAGGCTAATCAGGACCCGATTTTGAACAGTTTGAACACTGTGGAGTAAAACTTTCAAATTTTGCATCAGTCTAATAAACAGACATAAAAAAAAATCTAGGGACTACTTCATTATAAAAATTTTCAGCCGGAAGCAGGTTTGTCGTTTACTACTGGAACTTATTTTTTTTTTGTATTTCCAGACTTGTAGGAAAGATACAAATCACTTTAAAAAATCAAGACTGTCGGATTTTGAGATTATTGAAACGGATAAATTCTTTAGAAAGCAAACTTTACTCATTTTTCAAGATTCTAAACTTTGAACAAACTTTTTCAGAACTATGTATGAACTCAATGAGATTTACGTAAATCCGCACTGAGACCATAGAAAAGAAATTATACAGATTTATGTCAGCCAGATACAGATTTTTTGCGATGAAAATTCATATTGAAATTCAATAAAATATGGCATCACTGATGACGAGTTCAATATTCTGCTTCATTTCAAATTTGACCCACCTTAAAAAAAAACTTTTGGCCAGCTAGATTAGCTAAATATCCCTCCGTGCGACGCTGCGTTCGCATTCTAAAGAGTAAACATTTGGCTTTTAGGTTGTTGGAAAAACACAAACTACAAGTCGCTTTGACGGTAGTCCCTGTCAGTGTTCGACTACTAATTGCACTTTCCTCTATGATGGCCGAAAACTTTACGGCTCTCTCGCTTTCTAGTCAGTCACTTAACAGTGTTGGTGGTTCGTGGGAAAACCGCTATTGGCTTTGACATGGGGGTGTGGCCAGTACCGCGAGGGATGCAGAGGATGAGAGGCGTATGGTGCGGTCAAGCTTGGCAAACCGTATTTGCTGCTATTTATCGATGCTAGTGGAAAATGGATTGTTAAAAATAGTCCTGACGCTTTACTATTTTGATTTGCATCGTGTTAAATTCTGCTCTAGCGCAATACAGTAGCTCAACGGTGAACGAAACAAGGTGACGTTTGAATGAAGGAACGAAAGGCCTGCAGAGCGTAGAAGTTGTAATAAAAGGCATATGAGATATTCAAATCATTCGAGGAATGTTGTACAAATTCAAAGATGAAGGTTCATTTCAACCACCTGTTGACCGTCTGGTGTTTTACTCTTAAGTAATCAAAACGGTACCATCAGAGTCTTCTTTAAACGACACATGTTTCAAGGCCGATCATATTTCAAGATTTACTCAGCCGTCTAAGTTGCTGGAATTGGAAGTTTTTGCTCGAAATGAAAGCTTTTTTTTTCTCAAATACTCAAATACACAAGCACATGTAGTCGAAGTAGTAGAGTCACTTCGTGCAGTCGCCGTGCATAATAAGGTACTTAAAAATATTACCCTATTATATGCAAATGTTTATCAGCAAGCAAAATGATCGAACTGTGGACTCCCATATTACTATTTTGAGTTCGTAGATTCATCGTAAACAAACAAATAATTTTTTGATAAACTTCAATATAGCAATCAAAACAAAACTGATTACAAAAGTTCACATTTTCGTGTATTCCTATCAGCGTAGTATATTAGCATTCCTCAGTGCTCTGTGATGTGGGCTTAAAATAGCCTAGTCAGTGAAGGCACGGTATTACCAAGCTGGAGGCGGCGGGTTCTCGATTCCCAGTCCGGTAGAAGAAATATTTATATTTCTCTACTTCCTTTGGCATGGAGTTATCATTGTATAGCGTATATACTAATTCATACATTGGATGACATACCCAACACACAATTCAGAGCCAAAAATAAGCATATCTATCAAATAAATGCTGCACAGCAAAAAAAAAATTTTGATATCACGTCAAAGTGGATGCACTACAATCATGTCGAAAATATGGTGTAATATTACTTGCTAAAAAGGACAAAATTATCATTAATACAATGCATGAACTGACATTACGCTGCTTTTACTGCATTTGTTTATTTATGTGGTCATAAAAATTACATGAAATTTTCGACATGATTGTGACACTTTGATGTGATATCAAAATTATTTTTTTGCTGTGTGTATAACATTGTACATTGCTGAATAAAACGTGGTGTCGAATTATATGCTGAACAAAGCTTGTTGTGATGAAAAGATGTGCCTTTATTCCACTTTTTGCTCTGATCTAAGTAATTTAAAAGTTTTATAAACGTTGCCTGTCTTCATGGTTTGATAACTGAAGTTTGTTCTAAAACTAAACTGAATAAGTGTAATTTGCACATAAATCGATGCTTGAATCCGACTATTTGCAATTGCTTGAATAAAATGCTATTAGATGTCTCATCATGCTGAATAAATACTATATATACGATGTATAGATTAATTATTCCACAACACTGGTTCAGCCTCACAACAAGACGGAAGTGGTAGTTTAGTGATTATCGTTTCTGTTTACTAAGTAGAAGTTCGTGAGTTCAATCCTAGACGCAACCCTTTTTTATTTGTGCCTAATTTATTTAAATTGATTACGCCTAATAAATTTAAATCGTAATCACCAATCACTTTACTCACGACAAGGAATCCATCGATCTGTAGTTAAAGGAATAACCCGACTATCCTTTCCTTGACAATTATGAAGAGCATGAAGATGTAACAGTGATCCCTAGTAAAACAACGATTGCTGAATCAATCATTCCCATAACACGTTAGAGCTAAAGTTGCGATCGACAGTGCTGATAGTTATTCAGTGACAGGCAAGCTTTTGTTGATCGATGAGCTGGCCCTATGTTATATTTTAGCTTAGCCCATATGGCAAGACAAGTTACTGGTGAACGGAAGGAACACGGTTCGAATCCCACTCAGCGACATAGATGAAGGTATTACATTTTCTAATATAATTCAGTGTGCGTGCTCTTCGGCAGTATCAACAACAACAAAAAACAATCACAATCTTTTCGGGTAAATTTGACAGAAATTGAATGACCATTTAATAAGAGCAGAATAAGTATCTAATTAAACATTACTTCTACACATGATAATCAAGCGTATACAGGAAGCAATGAAGTTTAATAAACGCTGAACAATCAAACATTTGATCGAATGTACTCTGTTACAACTCATGTATAGTCGAATAAAAGCATTTGGATGTATCTTGATGGATGTAGCAGTTCAATTTTGTGGTTGAATAAATTTCCCAAATTTGTGTTAACAATGCCTGAACAGAAGTTATTATGGAAAATGGTACAGATATTATTCAGTATGCAGTTGAATAAAGTCATCAAGAAGCCGTTTCTTCAATAGGCGATTGTTTGTTGGGTGGAATGTACTCAATTAATAATTGCCGAAGTGCATCTAGAAGAACTACCTGGCCACGTGTCTTTGTTGCACCATAGCAATGAACTTCCACCAACTAATCGATCTATAATCAAAGTCATGATCATTCCAACAAAACTCGTGACTCACTTAAATGATGCCCATAAAGATTTTCCCAGAGATGGCACTGTTTCCTTGGTAGGAATGGTATGGAAGACGAGTTAAAATTAATTATTTCCAATAATTCAAAGCAGTAATCAAGTATTCACGTGGCCAACCCAACTAACATTTTCAGTATATGTAAACGCTTTATCAATTTCGGTTTTACAGTCTCAAACTGGATTGACACACTATAGGATATGCATCAACATTTACACAACTGAGTAAGAAGTTGAAAGGCGCTTATTCAACTTTTCCCCAACTACTAAATAATCACTATACAACTTTGTCGCAAAGTAGAGTTAAATATTGTATGTGTAGAACATTATGAGAAATAACGAATTTATAGTATTCTAAACGTTTGTCATCGCCGGATACAATTAAACACCTAACTAAGTTATTACATGCAGCGGTACCTGGGGCGCTAACTTGTGAAAACCGTATTCAGTATGACTTCTTGGTTGTGAAGATGCCATGATATAAGTAATATACACTTTTTATCAGCTTTGAATTGCAGTTATAAGATGTATGTTGAGAAGCATGTGTATAGCAGTTGTGTAAGCGTTTATTAGCTACTGTTAATCAATTTGACAGACAAGCTGAATAATAGTTGTATAAATGCTGAATAGGCGGTACTTATACCATTTTGACAGTTTTTACCTATAGGCTGAACTCACAGCTTTTATGGAGCTGCGTTACAGCACGAAACTGCAAAAAGTAGGCTTACATAGCTGACATTTTTTGTTGGGAAGTGCATAGAGATAGTAAATATCTATCTTGTTTGGAACATTTCCATTTAAATTTACTTTTTAATTAACTGTAAAATCAATAAAACAGTCCATTCCCATACACTTTACTTTCAACCTTGCTACCAAGTGAGTTAGCTACTTTGTCTCTCACACTATTCTCTCTCTCTCTCTCTCACGAGCTCAATTTCTGTACATGCCATGTATTTTGATGACACTCGATTTGTGATTTCCATCTCACAGACTACAAAATATAGTACCTGACTCTGCAAATCATGTCTGGTACCTCTATATATGCATTTGGATTAACATCCGAAGTCCTTCCTTTTTTGCATACTCTGCACAAATATAGCCCCGACCCATTAATAAAAACGGCGAAAAATCCGGTTAGAGGCGGGTGTTTAGGTGCAGAATATGCAAAAAAGAAGGGACTTAGGATGTTAATCTAAATGCTTATATAGAGGTCAGACATGTTGATGTCAGAAGTCGCCACAAACAAGAATAGTGACATCTGATAGAATCCATTTCCTGCAGTTCATTGAGACTTATTTCCATAAGATTTGCAATTAAAATTTCTTCATTCAATGTAGAATGGATGTCAATTTCCCTTCCATCGGATGGGAAGTGAAGCCGTTGGTCCCCGGTTCATGAGTTGATGGGTCGATAGGTAGGGTTCAGGTGTAGGAGCTGCCTCCCTGGCGTAGGTAGCATTGGTGCTCAGCACGGAAAACAAATCGAAGGATGTCAATTTCAAACCGGCAATATTGTAACAGGGTTCCTAATACATATTTTCTTTTCCTTACAGATATCCAGCACCTAGCATTATCATACAACAAAGGTGAGTTTCGAAGATAATATCGTTTAAGGTGTGTTTTTTTTTCTGTATCATGTTTGTATATTTAAGTGATGATACAAATTCGAAAAGAAAAACAATAATGTTAACACTCATCTTCAAAACAATCTATAATTCGGCAACCTGTTATTTGATCAGTTTTAATCAAACCATTGCACAGTGGTTTAAAAGTGAAATGCCGTGATGAGTGCAATGCCGTAAATCAATAGTGGCCACATTAGATTCGTTTGCATTGCATTGACATAAGTTTGACAGGTAGACAATAGATGTAGCTATCACTTTGCTGCAACGTGTTAGATCCGGATCTTATGTAGGTGGCCCTTTACTATAAGCGGAGGAATTGTTCATATTGAAGTTCCACACATTATAGCAATATGTAAAATAAATCAGCTAACTATGAAACACATTTTTTTTTGGGCAAACTAACTGTTTTGTTTGGCCTCTAAAATGAACACTGTCTTCAACAAATTGGTGGAAAACCTTATAACAATCAATTTAGCTGAAGCTGTTACTTAGGTGGTTCGGCTAAGTTGTTGTGCATAGTATTGCGTTAGATAAGTTTTGAATATCTTGGATCCCTGGAAAGCTAAATTTTCAACGTCTATTGGTAATCAACAAGCTTGTATGCAAGATATTTTTCTGTTTTAACCTGTGTGGCCTTACATGTAATAAGCTGTAGGTTCTAGTAAATATGTTTTTTTTCTCAACAATCAAATCTCAACACATGCACTAAAAACCTGACATTTTTTGACAAGTTCCTAATATCTTGGATTCATGTAAAACGAATTTGTCAATGTCTATTAGTAATCAACTAGTTTGTATGTCAAGTATTTTTCATTTTCCAGCCCATATTACCTCATATGAATCCTCTGTAGCAACATGATTACATAGAACAGAATAATATTTCTGTTGCACTTTTACAAGCTCAACATAATTTTGATTAAGAAGCTGTTAAGCCTTTGAAAGCTCAAATTCTTTCTGATTAAGAATCTATTCAGCCTTCAGAAACTCACAATCATTTTGATTAGAAAGATGTTGCGTCTTCAAAAGCTCAAAATTTTTTTGATTAAGAAGCTGTTCAGCCATCAGAAGCTCAAAGTAATTTTTGTATTGCATCTTTAGAAGTTCAAAATCATTTTAATTAAAAAGGTGTTGCGCCTTTAGAAGCTCAACATTATTTTGGTTAGGCAGATGTTGAGCCTTTAGAAGCTCAAAATCATTTTGATTAGGAAGATGTTGCTCCTTTAAAAGCTCAAGATAATTTTGATTAAAAAGCTGTTGGGACTTTAGAAGCTCAAAATCATTTTGGTTAGGAAGATGATGCGCCTTTAAAAGTTCAAATTCAAATCTAGTTGTTGCGCTTTTAGAAGCCCAAAAAAGTTTTTTCAGGAAGTTGTTGCGCCTTTAGAATCTCAACATAATTTTGATTAGGAAGCTGTTGCGCTTTTAGAAGCTCAAACTAATTTTGATTAAGAAGCTGTTGCACCTTTAGGAGCTCAAAATCTCTAAGAAATATCTGATTACTTTGCCCTATATAACCCCCATTACAGGGCTGGTAGCATCTCCTGTTGAAATGTACTACTTTAAAAACATTGGAAACGCTGAGCGAAGTCTGGTCTTAAATGCAACAACAGAAAAACATGCAACAAGTTCAGTCAAGTATGTTTTGCTGATACTTTATACATGAATAACCTACAATCAGACACCCATTTGGCATCTTTTGAACCCTGAATCCTGATGAATGTGGGTGTCTTAGTGGCCTGTATAAAGAAAGAGAGAAGGGTTAGTTATTTCCATTTAATTCCACTACCTTATTTGCTTATGTACTTCTTCAGTGTCTTGTACTAATACTCGACAATCATCTGCACATTGTAGACAAAATACGCGTTTTTATCAAGGATAAGTAAATAATGTAGTGGAATTAAATGGAAATTACTAATCCTTCTCCCTTTCTTTATCTTTTCATGTACACAACCACGTCTCATAAATGTCTTTATAAAATCACAGATCATGTATAGCATCATACATTCTTTAGCAAAGTTGTTCTTTTCAATGATGACTATACTTTGGTCATATGCTGAGTGCATTGTGTGCATTGGCTAGACGCGATCTGGAGTTTATGCAACACATATATGTTTTCTACGTTTGATTAACCTTGTGCTTGGTTTGTATTTTGTGTGTGTGTTTTTTTTTTGTATATTTGTTTCTGTAATAATTGTATAATTACAGAGTTGATATAACGTCAATAGGATTAGGTACATATTTTAGAAATAGTGAAAATTTTGAATCATAAATCATATTCCAAATCTCCTTTTCCCTCTCCCGATCCAAACAATTGTCATCCACTAACCTCGAGAAGGCCACGAGTAATCGGTCAAATCCTTTAATTTTAGATTTAAGACATTTATAATGTACAAAGAAAATGATAGCTTGGCTCTGTAAAATTTATTCTATTGAGCCTGTACAAATAAAGTAATTAATAAACAATGATGACTATACAAGAAAAAATATCCAATATCTTAAAGAGTTTGAGTGGTAACTGGCTATTTTCCTATTATACATAATCACATGACGTTGTCTATTCAAGCTGAACATTGCATTAGGTCCTAAGTAACATTGATCGATTCTCTTCATCGACTTTCTCTTTCGTTAATATCTTGAGCACATAACCGTTTCTTGTTGTGTTTGACGTATTAGATGCTAGATAAGAGCTTCTTTTACCGCGTGGTTATTTCTGACAGGCAAGAAGTTAAATTTTGACAACCGTAGCCCCATACAGACTATGGCTTATATCATGTAATATAGGCTGTCTTGCAATGAGCACTCATGCATCTAGTTTTCAATGGAAATCCTATGTATGAGTGCAAGACAACCTATATTACATGATATAAGACACAGTCTGTACGGGGTATGAGTTCATCGGTCGGAAACACAGGGATTTTCGAACATAAGAAATAACTTTTGAAATTTCGCTTTTAACCACGAGTTAAATTTAACTCGGCAAATGGTTTACAGCCTTAGAAATGGAACAACATCATTTGGATCTATTTCGGAGTTGAATTATCGGATTTGAAAACGGTTTTCACTATTCCTTATATTTGAAGAAAAAATGCGAAATGAATTATTCGTTGCGGTTTCGAAGGGATTCTCGAACCTATTCCTTAATACGACCCATCAAGTGGCGCACAAAGTTCTCGTCCACTGTTTTGGCGATTTTATCCCATCTATTTTTCATCTGAGCTGCCTTTTTAATGACTGTACCGATAACCTTCAGTTTCCTCTTCATAATTACCCAGTAGTTTTCAATGGACTGGGGACTGGGGACAATTAGGCGGATTGAGGGTTTTTGGCACAAGCTGGACTCCATTGTCATTTTACCATTGTTGTAGTGACAACTCGCAAGATCCGGCCAAAATGTCACCAGACATTCGGTTTTTTAAACCTCCGAGTTCATCATTTTCTCAGTGACGACATACTTTATCTTCTGGCCGCAGCTGCATATTTTCTGCCAAATAGTAGTGATTATGATTCTTCTTGAAACTTATTAACATGTATCGGAAAGTAATTGGTCAACTCTCCGCCTATACTAATTCCTTGCCACCAGAAGCAATAAGCAGTACGCACAAAAAATCGTCCCATCGGCTACGTGGACCCGTACGAAGCTAAGTTGAATACGGAAGATTTCCCGTCGACAGTGACTGCAGGACACATTGTTGATTATCTAGTAAATCACGTATCCCTGACATCAGGAGAAAGTTTCCGGACAGTCAAAAGTTTCCAAGCCTACCGGAAATTCAAGGATGGTTTTGTTTATACTGTTCATGGAACTATAATGTCATCCAAGAGACATTTCTCAGTAGAACTGACAGCTAGAAATCTAGGGTGTGTGAGTGATCTGGTGTTAATGGTGCTGAATGTAAACATAAACAAAGTAGAAATTCCTATGAGAATAAACTGCCAGTGATCAGTCAAATGGTCAATGGTTAGCTTGTATTAAGAGGCGAGGTAAAGTGGTGTGATAGATTGTTGTTCCTGTTAAATTAATACATAGGGTATACGTCCCTAACCTCGGTCTAATATGCAGCCATCGATTACGTTTTTAATCATAACTCATCAATGAATTTACCTGCAAACGATATTCTACTGCTAAATGGTATGCTTAGATATGCTTATCATGTCGTTTGCTATCAGAAACCACGAAAAGTTGAAAAACTTACTTTTTTTAAGACAATAACTCACGAGGGAAATGTATGTAATATGGGTCTATTGTCCCCAAATTGGGTCTATTTATGGATGCAACTTCGTCCTATCTTGTTTGATCCTCAAAAAAACGCTCTTGGTAACGTTTTCTGATGTATTTTTTTTTATCACTATCACTGTTAACTTAATGCTCTTCATTCCTCAAAACATTTCTTAGAGAAAATTTTACGAAAACTACATTAAATCACTCAATTTAAAAATTAAAAATTAAAAATTTCGCTTATCGTCTTTTGACCGCAGAATATCTAAATCAGAACATTGTGATGTTCATTATACAGGTTTGGCAGAAAAAATCTCCCTTCCTGTTCGTTCCTTATCATCCAAATGCAAAACAACATTGTTGACGTTACTCTTATTGCTATATGCTGTCAAATGAATTTCATGGGCCATAGTTAGGAACATAGAAAAGAAATGTGTCCCTAAAGTTGGGTCCATGTTTTACTTGTGAAAACGTTGTTAAACAATTAAAATAAACATAAAATATTCAAACAGCAACTGTAAGTTTTACGTCTAGTGTGTATTATCAGGTAATTCCAATCAATAAATGCCATAATCAGGCCATTTGATGATCGTCAGTCAACCTTCCCATCTTAACCTTATAAGTCATGGCGGCTAAAAACTCCGAACATTGTGATATTCTCAACCAGTTTTATTACTTACGAGAGCTGAAAATGTATTGAAATGTTGTGATATAAATTGATTTGTGTGTGGTACACATTTATCAA